AAGAGCCTGGGTTTTGTAAATGATGTGGAAGAGAAGAGGGCTGCTGTCACTTAGCAACCCTATCTGGTTCAGGAACAAAATGTTTTTCTGTTGGAATCTGTGCAGTGCTGCTACAAAGCATTCCTGACTGGGTAGGAGCAGGAGCAGCTCTGTTCTGGAGACATTTGGTGCAAAGTTAAGTGTTCCTAATGCTGCATTTGTGAGATGTATTTATGCTGGTATTTGTGACCATTAAGATTTTTGTTGTCTACCTCATTGTTTGTCTGTTGTGACCATTAGCCAAGGAAACATTTCCAAATGGCTTCAATAAAGCAAAATTATATTTTTGCATTAATGGTACAAAATAATTTCTGCCTTAAGTGATTTGTGATACTGCACTTTTCAATATTCTAGTATCAGTCATGTACAAATCTTCAGAGAGGTTACATTAGCATCCCTAGAGGAAAAGAAGCCTCAGTGTCTGAAGATTTCCTGACTTACTGCTTTTGAGTGATGATGGCATTTGGTAATGTAGCTCTTAATGAATGATAGCATGATCAGTGTAATTAGAATACATCTTTCTTTTTTAAACACACTGGTTTTGCTGAAATTAAAAATACCATCAAGCAATCATAGTTTTTGAATGCAAAATGAAATTCACTTTGTTCCTCATCAACCTGCTAGTAAGTCAGGAGGTTTCCAGAAGGCAGGCCGGGTCCATGTTTCTACCATGAAGTTGGGAATGACTTCAGTTATTCTCTGTGCCTTTGGTTGAATATGCCTTTCAATATACATATACAAGTCTTTTGTCAGTGAGTCTTTTTATTGCTAGTCCATGACAAGCAAAGAATTGTGCTCTCTTTCATGAAGGTACGGTTTGAAAACGAGTTATATTAACTACTGTACTTTCAACTGGGAAACTGCAAAAGCATCATCTTCACTTAAAAGATGCAGTCAGCAATGCAAGCAAGAAGGTTCTTTCCTTTTTTCTTGCACCCATACAAAAGGCAAAATTACAAACGTTACTATGTGTAGTTCTGACTATAGGAGGAATGAGGTTAATCCATCACAGTCACCGGAAGAGTCCCCTGTCCTAGAAGTCACTTACTTGTCTGTGAAAATTACCTCAAGGTAATGCTTCTCTAGTCCTGAATATATTGCTGTCAGGTTCAAGTTGTGCTGCTGTTTTTTTGTGATGTAGACTAAAGTAACACGTGAACACTTATTCTGTAGTTTGTTACAGTATACATGTTTAGTTACCCTAAACTACCCTGGGCTACAACTGGCTGGGTGCTTCCAACATGAATTTTTGCAATGCCCTTTGTTCTCTGTTATGATTCTGAAATCTCTCATGTCAGCATGTTGGTGTTAATATTTGATGCTCATGTTCATTTAGTTGTGTTACAAAGTGGTGAAAGACCTCAGTCACTCAGGCCTGGAGATGTAGTTGGTTCTCTGGACTTGAGATGCCCTGAGCCTTTATGGGAATCCCAGATGTAATGTCCTTGTATGAGTTCCTGTGAGCGTGCTGGCTGAAAGCTGAACTCTGACTTCTCGGGTGCAAAGAGGAGCAGCCAAGTCCCATATCTGTCTTGGCTATCCAACCAATGCATTCCATATATGAGGCTCTTGCGGGGAATATTCTGGTTATTTAAAAGATGACTCATAAAGCTAAAAACTAAGATGTGAATTGTCACTGCTTTTTCCTAAGTATACAAGATCATTGCTGACTTCTAGAAATGAGTGATAATTTCTGCAAGGACATGTAGGTCTGAATCGGCATACCTGTTTTGCTTTCAGTACACCCATCCTGATTTATTCTGTCTGGGAGAACACAGTTTGCAGTAACTTTGATGTATACATAATAGGCACTTTTTACAGTTGTAGGTGGAGGGATGGCTGGAGTGTATCGAATTCAATGAAAAGGTGCTTATTGACTCCAGGGGATTTTGAATTATACCCTGACCCAGCAAGCACTTTAATGTAGGCTTTAGCTCACTGTTTCAGGTTCACTGAGATCACTGAAACTGTTCCAGAAGGTAAAGTTAAACATGTACAACATTTACAAGCTTTGGACCATAAAAACCTCTGGTTTTCTCCCATTTTCTGTTTCCCTCCATGGATGTATATATGCACGTAAACATTCTCTTTCCTTAAATATGAAAAATATGACTTTTGCTAAGTAGATCTCTTGCTCAGTGAAGAAGGTGTACTTAAAAGAAAGAACGCTAATTTATGCATAGCTAATAGATCAATAAGATCTCAGTAGAAAGTATAAGACTTTTTCCGTAGAGAGCAATGTATGATTTGGTGGGTGATTTTGGCCTTCAGTTCCCTCTCTACAGTCCTGTCTTAGGTCTGCTGTGTATTCTGAAATGCATTGTCTGTGGTCATATTCACATTTCAAAGCCTACCTATGACTGTGCATGCAGTGGGAACCATACTGCATTTTAGATTACCTTGCGGAAGGTCTTTTCCTCTGGATCAATGTTGATTTTAACTTGTTTGCAATGTCCTTTCTAATGTAGTGTAGCTTGAAAGGAGATTAAATGAAGAACGCATTTTGCTTTCCAATTATTAGCTGTAAACATGTTCTTTTTGTTTTTGTCTGTAGTATTAATAACCATTGCAGTAATATGCTCAGCTATCTTGAAATTTTTCAGTTACTATAAAAACATTATACTTGCACTGATGAAATTTGTTTTACTGATCTTGATTTGTACTATTATTTTTCAGGCAATTTAGCTTCACTGGTCAAGTTAAATTAGTTGAAATTTGAATGCTATTTAATGCCAGTTCCTTGTGAGCTTCCAGTGAGTTTCTGGGTACAGTTCAATAACGCTGTGTTTGTCTTCTATGTTACTCAGTTTTAACTCTTAAAAAATTTGCATCCACACCTATTTTAGACAGATACGGTCTAATGAGTCTAGCTAGCGTAGCACCTTAGGAAGTTACTGCCCCTCAGATGTCCACTGTGCTTCTATGTCAAAGACTGCTTCTACAGCAATGAAACCAGTAAAGGCATATGCATTAGGATATGTATGTTTACACCATGGCATAAAGTCTGCGCGCCGCCTTCTGCAGTCCAAAATGAGCCACCATACTCTATAGCGGTCCAGGGAAGGGCAGATACCCTCTTCTGATTGTACCTACTATTAGGCAGCAACAAAAAGCTGGAAATAATAGTATCTTGGATGACTACAACAGTGGATTGAGAAAGCCTGGCTTTACTTTTCTTCTCTTCTTGCCCTCTCTTCATTTGGTGTTTGTAATGTTACAGCAAGCAGGTGTCATTAAGCAAAACCCAAACCTCTTACTTTTAGCTAGAAGTGTCTGGTGCCTGTGATTTGTTCTGCCTTCCCCTGTTTCTGGTCAGAATCCAGAGCTGCTAATTTCCTTAGCATAGTGAGAACAAATTATGTGTAAGACTAGCAGGTAACTTCTGGGGATTTATGCATGTACAGATTCTTTGCTATCTTTATGTGCTGGAGATTACCAAAGTTGGCTCAAGTTTGCTTTGGATGGTGCCTTCTTTGAAGGTGTCTGTAAAGACTTGGCCCGCTCAATGTTTATTTTAGTGGTAATAAGGCCAGTTTGATGTTACCAGATGAAAGTGAGTCAGGAAGGCTGAATAAAAAACACACAGAGACTACTGTACTTCAAAAATTACTTATGGAACCATTATTTATCTGGTCAGATAACCATGTAATATTTCTAGTAATTTGTCATTCTGTGGATTATCACAACACAATAACTTGTCCTTTTTGAAGCTGTGTCAATGCAGTATTGCGCACTGACATAGTAAAGTTGTTTTATGTTGCTACTTAGATACCAAAGCAAAAGCAAGGTGTTTCATCAAGAGGCTTCAATCACTCGTTGGTATTGCTGAATTGGCTTTTACAAATATGTTGAAGGTGATGACAGAATTCTTTTGAAATGTTAGAATTAGTGAGGGAAAGGGATTTTTAGAAGACAGAACTTCTAGGTCTGTAGCAGATAGCTGCTTGCATAAAGGAGTTGCTAATGATAGTAAAATTCCAAACACTTTTGATTAAGAGATAGTCTATTGCTCTCAGCTTGTTTGTTTTAGATTTAGAGTCTGATGAGGCTGTGTAGGAGGTAGACACCCTGTCACTCTTACGGAGTTTTCTTCTCTTCATTTTCATTCAAACCTTAGCACAAGTACATAAGTCATCTTGGCAGCGGGGGCATTGGTTCACTGAATAGTCAGGTGAATCTTCAAAGCTGAAACTGGAAGACAAATGACAAAAACTAGATAGTATGTGCATCATTCTTCCAGGTTGTCATGAAATGATGCTGCTAGCAGCTTTATCTATAGTGAGTTTCTGCTTACTGTTCTTCAATATGGGACAAGGTCCTGTTCCTCCTGTCTGCTGGTCCAACTCTGTGTAGGAAAAATTAATTTCTAAATGTCTAGCAAATCCTAACCTTGCCACCGTACGTAGGGGTCTTTGGGAAGGGGAATGATCTTATGGAAGTGACCAGTAGGTCTGCCTCATCTCTCTTGCTACTTTTCTGTGGATGCAAAGAAGATAGACTGCGCAAAAGGACTGATTAGCCTGGCATGGCCTGGTCCATAGGCAGAATGCTTCTTGGGGAACAGGTTGTGGGCTAGTGATGTATGATATTTTATTTTGACATGATTTTATAAACAAGTTTGTACTAAATGCTAGAATGATGGAGAACCTGGAATAGCTGGAACAAAATAGCTGTTGCTATATTAATTATATCTAGCTCCAGTTGTTTTGAGTATGGTCAAATGGATTAACCCAGTATAATATATTTAGATCTCACTAACACATTTTCATGTAGAATAAGAGTGCATTATGGGGTGTTAGTACTGGGGCATCATTTTCTGTCCATGTAGACAAACCTCAAATTAGCATACTTACTCCCCAGTAATGATGTAAGTGTGATTTTGATGTCTGTCGCATTTCAGAATTGCATGGAGCATTCTGATTAAAAACGCTTCATAATGCTGCTGCTTTTTCTTTCACCAGAGGCCAGCAGAAACTGTAGATGAAGAAGAAAATGCAGAAGAGGAAAATGACATGGGAGAGGAAGCATATAAAGGAGAGGAAGAGTATCCAGAAGTGAATGGAGAGGAAAATGGGGAAACCGTTAAAGAAAGAAGTGAAGTGGAAGAAAACAAGAAGAAATTAAATGAGAATTATGAAGATGAAGCAGAAGAAACGGAGAATGTTGACCAAGCAGAAGAGGAACTTACCCACTTAAATGGCAAGAAAAATGAAGAAAATGGTGAGGGAATGGAGCACTTGAACTACCAAGGTGATCTTCAGCCTGAAGAAGAAATGAAAGAAAAGGATTCTGACAATCAGAACCATGTGAGTGTTCTTTCAGTTTGTTGTTCTTAAGTTATTGTTCCTCATTCATCTCAGCCTTAGGCTTGTCAGCTAGTCTCTAAGTAGCTCACTCTTGATAAGGTCCTGAGAACATTTATGAGAATTTCAGTTTGTCGGAAAAGCTTTTTTCTGTCTGTATATGCCAGTTACATCAGTAATTACATTATATGCCCTCCAACTGAGAAAGCAGACCTTTCTTGCTATTTGATGAATCTGCATCTCCTGCTTTGCTGAGTATGCTGAATTTTGAAAAAAAAAAAAAAAAGTAGTAAAAAAAATTATTGCAATTTCCAGAAAAGCATAATCATTATATAGTTCCACACTGCATTGTCCTTTAGGACAGAGCAGAAGGGTGTGTTCATGAAATGACAGTTCCTCATTATTATGATGAGTTGACTTTAACAGAAGTTGCATTTCATTAAAAGGTTCTTGCCATTGCTTTGTGGAAGTTTCATGTCCTTTTCTGAGAAGTTGGAAAAGACAGTGGAGATGAACAAGATCCTCAAGGCAAGGGGCTTTAGTCGATTTAAAAGAAAATATGCCATTAATGTAGGAGACACAGTAACATGCCATTGGCTTAGATGGAAGCATGCAAACCAGAAAAATAAAGTGGACAACCCTGACTGTCAGATGAACTGACTAGTGAACGGAATGTGGAAAACAAAGTATTTTGTTTGATGAGGAGAACCCAGATCTCGTAAGGGTGAGATTCTTGAGTGCCAGAACAAGAACAACTTGCTGCATATTTGCTGCCTATAGGCTGCTGAAAAACAGAGTCGTTGTCTTCTTGTGACACTGGGAATGGTTTCTTGCACCTTGCAACTGGGTTTTCTTCTGTTTCTGTGTGAACATACAAAACCAGTTTTCAATTAAAAGAGCTGAGCAACGCAGCATTTGCTTGGGCCCTGAATTTATTCTATGCTTGTTATATTGATTTTTTTATTAGTTTTTAGAAAAGCTGAAGTTATTTATGGAAGTGAAGAAAGTGAGTAAGCATTCACTTTAAATGGATATGTGGGTAACTGGATGTTTGATGAAAGAACTTGGGGGCAATCTCTAATTTGAGTACTTTCTCCTTTGGAAGGTATATAAGTATAAGGTAAATAAAAATGTTAATGTGATCACTCTTGGAAAACATTCTTTCATGTTAAGAATACCTTGTGGATATTTTAGTACGAAGTGCTAACACTGTGTTGAAATGAACTGAAATCTTTATTACCCAATGAAGTAAACAATAACTGTCCTTTTTCTCTAGGTTGATTCCCATCTTGAAAAAACATCCACAAATCCAAGGGTGACAATCACCAGCCCACAAGAAAGCGAAAAAAAAAATGACCAGAGCAATGACTATGCTGCAGTGGCATAGATAGAAAAAGTGTAATGAAAATGACAGATTATAATACTGTTATACAAAGCATGCTATTTTTTGTGATTGGTAACTTATAATGGGAAGATAGGTTGAGCACCCACATATCGAGTCTTGAGATAATAATTCTATATGGACTGATATAGAAAACAAACATTAACAGTTACTAGAAGAACACAGATTTATTTTTACAACGTGACATTTTCTGATAGAATTTGAGCAGGTAAATACAAGAGTACTGTATAGTAGTATTGGAAATAAATTAACTCTTCTGTGGTATAAGATGGTTACCAGAAATAGAATAATCACAAAAATGACACTGTTCAAGAAAAAGGAAAAAAAACCCCACCCAAATTCAATGTCAAAACTTCTTTTCAGATTTGTTCAGAAAGAGAAACAATTTTTGACTTTTAATGAGGACATAAGTATTTTTTCCTTTAAAATTCCATGTGATACATACGATTTCCAGACATAACATTAAGATATAATTGGAATGCATTCCTCACTTAATGGACTTATGCCCACAAAAAATAGTGTACTATAATGAGGTCTTAGTCGTAATGTTACTAAATAGTGGATTTTCAATATATTAATCACAATCGTTAGTTTTTACATTCATAAATAACACTTACTTAGCTCTATAAATATATGTAGACAGCATACGATACTGCAGTTTGTTCCCGTTTACAGCAAGAAGTTTTGATTGTCCTGTACTGATTCACTAACCAGTGAATTACCATAGTGAAAAAAAAGTAAAGGAAGAGTATGTAGCAGATTAGTTTCAAAAGTTGAGATTGGATGGATTTGTAATTCAGTCTAGGTGAAATTTAATTTATTAATGAAAAAAATTAATAGGCCTTTATTCAGACTGAAATTGCCATGCAACCATGCTGCCAATGGAGCCATTTTAATATGAAACGTGTTAGGATAAGCCTGTCAGTTTTCTGTAAAAGTCAGCAACAAGTGCTGCGTTTATGAATCCTTTACATAGCCTTAATAGTTGGAAGTGTGTCATTATCTTTTTGAGCAAGCTGGCTCCTGATAGGCTGTGGCTTAATTTGCAGTAGTAAATAAGACATTGATCCACAGTATTAGTTCTTTTAATGACACCGATTCCATTGCTCTTATCATTTCTGTTAGTAATGGGAATAATTTGTAGTTCATAGAAATACAGCCCTGAGAATAATTTCATTAATTATACAAAAGAAATAGTGGGTTTCCTTATCATTAATGCTGGTAAATTATTACTATGAGAAACTAAATGCCATTTTTGTTGATTTCATGCCATTAAGACAAAAATTACATTTATGAACAAATTAACCTTGAAGCGCTGTTTGAGGAATGTGAAGAGCCACTTGTCATGACTGAAACTCATACAAACATCTTCACTTTTTCTACTAACTATTAAATATATTTTTCCAACGGAGTAGAAATACGTAGAGAACCTTTAGCATGTTTCTGAATATTGGCAATGTAAGTATAAAAAACATAATGTTAAAAACCATAGGAACAGGGTTAGAACAATTTGCCCTGTGGCATCTTTGAATTGTCTGTGATTCGTGTGTCCTTTGTTGAACTGTCTGACAAAGATCTGAGGGACTGTTACATTTGTGATGAGTTCAAAATAAGCTCCTAATTTAGCCAAGCTCTTAAGCAAGTATGTATGCTTCTTTTATTTGATACAGCAAGTAAGGCTCTGCTCAAACATCTTTGATTTCACTGGGATTTAAGAGGACATTTAAAGTTAAGCAGAAGTAAAAAAAAAAAGCACGGCCCCCAACAGAATGAGTAAAATAACTGTATGTGCTAGTGAGGAAAAATGACACACAGAGATCCTCTAGGTACCTTTATGTTTAATCCTGCACTGGAATAATATATGCAGTAGCATTAAAAGCCCTCAAACAATACTTAACCAGCCAGAGAAGGCAGCTCTGTCTCCTTGGGGAGCTTAGGGGAATTTACCTG